CGGACAGGGGCCCCCCCAGACAAGGGCCCCCCGGACAGGACCCCTCCTGGGGCGGGACACCGGCCGTCGGCCACAGCAGGGCTGTGCCCGCTGCTGAAGGCCACGTCTAACGAGGACGGGCATGCAGGCCTCACCTGAGGCCTCGCTTTCCCAGGGAGTCACACGCCCCCTGGCCTGGCTCCATTCCCCGGGGCCAGAGCTAGCTATGTGCGCGTCAGCCACGGGATGAACACCTCTCTGAGATGCTATCCACACCCGTCTCCCTGCTGCTTTCCCGGGGACTGCGTGGCGCTGACAGGTGCGCAGACCCTGCCGTGGGCGTCTGGGGGCCACCCGCGCCGGGCCGACTGTCCCTCCCAACCCTCTCCCCTCAGGGGCCTGTGGCTCAGCCGCCGGCGGTGACGTCATGTAACGAGGAGACTTAAATAGCCACACACGCGGCAGCCGCCTGCCCTCTCAGCTGGGCCGAGCACAGGGCAGCCACCCACCTCACTGCGAACACGGAGTTTATCTCGGCCAGCAGGCCGCCCGCAAACACAGGCCCGCCCGCCACGGACACACACAGCCGGTGGCACAGGGTCCTCAGCTGCCCTTGCTCCAGGAGCAGTGACGTCCCGCACCGTCACTCCGTTATTTACAACAGAGCGGACAAGGCCTCGCACGGCCCCCGACCAGCAGGTCCCCGCTCCCCTCACCCAAAGGCCCTCCCAGCAGCTCTCTCCTCCTGCTCTGCTGGAAAACGACTGCTCCTCGGTTCCGCGTTTGCCCGTCTTTCCTGTTCTAACCGGCCGCCCCCTCCTCTGCAGGGCAACTGGGGGAGGGCTCAGAACCGCGCCTAGAGCCGAGTGCGACCCGGGCTCCCAGGGAATGTGCCGTGTGGCTGGGGTGGGGCCGGGCGGCCTGAGCTGCTCCCTGGAGAGCCACACGCTGGCGCATTTTCTGTGCGGCAAGTGACACCTAATAATAGCAGGTGGGACAAGAGGGCGAAACCAAACCCCGACACGGTGGCAACAGGCCCACCTCGCCCTCCCAGGGCCTCACGGGCCACCGGCCACGTCCACGTCACCCTCGACCACACAGGGACGTCCCTTCTGACTGTACCCGCAGCAGAAACGCACCAGGCTCACCGCCCAGGGGCCCAGGTCCAGGAACCGGCCCAGCAGGTCCAGGGCTCTCAGCCGATGCACCTGGCTCAGCAGCACCTGCAGAGAGAGGAGGTGTCATGGCGGCACCACGGCAAGGCCAAGGCCGTGCAGGCGCAAGGCCAGTCCCTCGGATCAGCCCAGTGTCCTGCACTGTGGCCCACGCAGGGGCTTCCGTCCCTGCTGCTCCGCTCAGAGGCCAGGAGACACTGTTCTTCAACCACAGGTCACACAGGTACACCCACAAGCCACACCCACAGGCCATACCCACAGGTACACCCGCAGGTACACCCACAAGCCACACCCACAGGTACACCCGCAGGTACACCCACAGGTCACACAGGTACACCCGCAGGTACACCCACAGGTACACCTGCAGGTACACCCACAGGTACACCCACAAGCCACACCCACAGGTACACCCGCAGGTACACCCACAGGCCACACCCACAGGCCACACCCACAGGTACACCCACAGGTACACCCACAAGCCACACCCACAGGTACACCCGCGGGTACACCCACAGGCCACACCCACAGGTACACCTGCAGGCCACACCCACAGGTACACCCGCAGGTACACCCACAGGTACACCTGCAGGTACACCCACAGGTACACCCGCAGGTACACCCGCAGGCCACATGGTGCGCAGGAGGCATGGGAACAAACGCTGCAGCTGCGTGAGGGATGTTCCGTGCCGGCCCTGGGAAACCTGCCCTCGAGGGGTGCTCCCTGCCTTCCCACCCGGACGACTGGGCTGCAGGAAACTGAAGCCCAGGATGCGGTGCTTTCACAACCAGGACTGGCTTTGTTCGTATTTACACTTTTAAAAAATCCCCGTTTCCGCTGCCCTGGACCTGCGGGAGCAGAGCCAACGCCGGGGAGCTGCACGGGTGCGGGGGCGAACCCCACGACCTGCCCCATGTTCACTCAGGCTCTCGGCGCCGCCTCCTCGGTCACCTAACCGGGCCCAGGGCGAGCAGGACCGGCCGTCGCTGTGGAAGGTCAGGCAGATGCCCCTGCTCCCGCCGGTCCCCTCCCTTCTCCAGATCGGCAAGCGGCTCTGTGGGTCTCCGTCCCCAGGGAGTGTAGACGGAAACGGAGCGTTAGACCCGTCGATAGCAGGCCATTTACAGCAGGCTGCTTGCCAGACTCAGGAACCGGCTCCACACGTCCGCCGAACCAGCTCGGGAGACGGCCGGCGTCGGCCCCGCTGCTGACATGACAGGGAGGCCAGTGCAAGGGCCAGCGGCTGCCCACGCCCGCCTGTCGGCGCACTCACACCGGCCGTGCAGCACTCGCCGGCAGGAAGCCCGGGCCCAGCCGTGGGCCGCTTCTTTGTCTTGTTATTGCTCTTCTTGTCGTTTGTTTGGTCACAGCTCATCCTGCGAGCGCAGGCGGCCCTGAGCGAATCCAGACACAGGAGCGGAGCGTGGCCCCCCTGCATTCTTGTCTCCATCGGAAAGAAGTGGTCAACCCGAGGCCGAGCAGGCGTCTCGGGGACATCACGCCCGGCTGCTGGGCTGCGTCTCACAGGCTCCCCGCGTCCCTTTTCTGACGGCTCTGGCGGACTCGGCCACAGTCCAGCCCCGGGGGCCGAGGCTCTGCTGCCGGTGCCTTCAGGGTCCTCGTGGTGACAGTGAGCATGGGGCCCAGGGAGGTGGTGGTCCCTCACCCCCGGCCAGCGCCAGAGGAAGGAAGTGCGTCACGTCCTCAGGCCGGCGGACAGGAGACTCGCGCTCCCGTTTCCCGGAGGCCACAGTGGGCTGGCGCTCCATCAGCCCCCGAGAAGCAAGGAGCAGCGGGGTGATGACTACAACCCAAATCAGGGTTCCCCGGAGGGCGGGAAAGCCCGTAGGGACAAACGCTCACTGAGCTCCACCGACACCTGACACTCCTGTGACAACCTCCCCACCCACTGGGCCGGCGCAGCCCAGTGACAGGGTGAGCCCCACGCCCACTCCTGCCGAGGGAGGCGCTGTCCCCGGAGACTGCGGGGTGTCCAGCTCCCGAGGCCTCACCTGCAGAACAATGGGGAGCTGCTCGGGGGGGCTCCTGTTCTCCACACCCATCGTCAGCCACACCTGGAAGGCCGTCAGCTGCTCAGCGAAGAACGGACTGTGCTGTGGACGGGCAGAGGGACGGCGTTAGGGACCCGCCTTCCTCCGCTCCACACGCCCCCCCCCCTTCAATTCAATCCCCACGCCACATGCCGTCGCCATCCCCGTGGGAGAGCAGGGGTGTGGCCGGAGCAGAGCCAGGAGGCGGGGTCTGCCCTGTGCAGACTGGCTGCAGGCAGGGAGGCGGCCAAGCCCGGGAGGGGCCATGAACTGAGGCTGACGCTGCAGGGGAAGCATGTGGGGGGCGTCGCGTGACTGACCCCACGGGTCCCACGAGGGCCTGCGCCCAGAGCACTGTGCCCGGGCAGAGTGTGCCGTGAGGGTTTGCAGAGAACCCGCCACCCCAGGACTCCTGCTCCTGCAGTGTCAGCGCCATCACGTCCATCAGGTGTGCGGAGACGGGGTTGGGATGCAGCCCCGAGTGGCTCTCCTGTTTCTGAGTATGAATTATTCATAAATCGGCTTAAAAAAGACCACCTTGCTAAGAGCGGCCTCGCCGCAGCGGGAGAGCACGGCCCACGGAGCCCTGGCTCTGGGGGGGTCGGCAGCGGAGAACGCGGGGTCTCTCCCGCCCTCCGGGCCCTTCTCCCTGAGGGAGCCCATGTCATCGCGGGAGAGACGGCTCCGCCCAGGGCCACGAGCATTCCTGACCCTCCGTACGTCTGTCCGTCCGGCAGAGAGGCAAGGCCCGGGGGAGCTGCCGTGGGGTTGCCGTGCGGCGGGAGCGGGAGTGGGAGCTGGCACTCCGGGCGCCCAGCACGGGCTCAGGCTCCCGAGAGTGGCCGTGTGCGTTGGACGACGGGCCAGCGAGTTATAGGAAAGTTACTGGGATAAGGAAGTGACTTTAATGAAGTTGCTACACAAAGTCACTTGTGACCAATATATAGAAAAAGAAAGAAAATAGAAAATGAAATTTAAAAAGATACTCTCTACAGCCACACCGATGGGCTGGGGCACACACTGGAGGTCGGTCAGCAGAGGGACGGGTCGGGGCAGGTGACCGTGGAGGTCAAGGGGACAAACGTCCAGTTTAAACAATGAGCCTCGTGGCGGTCACTTCGTAACGCCGGCACCTATTGGGCCGAGTGCTGCCGCCAGAGAGGAGTCGGCGGCGTGACAGGGATGGCGTGCAGGCGCATCATGAACCAGCTCCCATCAGTGAGAAACGGGGGGCAGGAGAGGAAACGGACAGATTCGACAGGCAGGTCACAAAGAGGATCCACCAGGGGCCAAGGAGGACACGGAGCTGCTGGCCGAGTCCACGGTCAGGGCAACGCACACAGGACAGCAGCTCAAGGAAAGTCCCTTTCACGTGCAACCCCAGTCGCCAGCGGGGGGGGGGGGGGGGAGGGACGCAGGAGGCGGCCAGGCTGCAGGCGCTCGGCGGGGTGGGTGCAGCGCCCCCGGCTGGAGGCAGGCGGGGGGGCGGGGGTGCCAGCGAGGAGAGCAGGTACGACAGCAGCGCCTCAGCGGACCGGGCCTCCCAGAGCTGACCGCTTCCAATCTAACGCTGACCCCGGCGGACACACATCTGTCTTTATTTTTTTGGTTAATCCTCACCCAAGGGTATTTTCCCGCTGATTTTTAGAGTGGAGGGAGGAGGAGAGAGAGAGACATCCACGTGAGAGACACAGGCCGTTGCCTCCTGCACGCACACGCCTGACTCTTTGGTGGGCGGGGCCCATGCCCTGTCCTCTGACCACTCTGGCCAGGGACAGACCCGCATCTTTTAAGCGCTAAGTGCAGGTGGGTGCAGGGCACCGCGAGTCCCGTCCCCACCCCCACGGGCACTGCAGACCAGGTCAGAGGGCGGCCCCGCAGGGCGCCCATGGGGCTCACCCGGAACGCAGTGCCCTCCTCGATGATGGTGGGCAGCTGGGAGAGGCAGATGTCCACGGCGAGGTCCCAGGCTTGCCTGAGGAGAGAGCAGAGGACACAGGGCATCACTGACCGGCTCCCGCCAGGACCCAGGGCGGGCGGAGCAGGGCAGCGGCCGGGCCAGCCCCGGGGAAGGCAGAGGAGCTAAAGCCGTTTGTAGCTCTTTTCTCCTCGAGCTGAAACGAGAAAGAGGCCTGGGAACAAGAGGGACCGTCCCACCGTCTGAAGCAGCGTCCGCGGCGCGGCTGCCCACCGAGGCAGGGGCAGCGTCACACACCAGCACCGAGAAACGCAGGCCAGGCCACGCGCCTCCTTAGGAACAGGCCAGTGTGAGGCTGGGAGAAAGGAGGTCTGTCTGAGGCCCCCACCAACCCCAATGCCCGCGTGGTGCCCATGGAGTCAGGGCTGGCTTGCCAGCACTGTTGGGCCCATCACCCGGGCCCCACGCAACCACTCTGGGCCTCCCGCCTGGCTCCACCTCCCCGCGGGCTCTGTGGGAGCCGAGATGGCAGGGGGCTCGGCGGGGTCGCCAGCAGAGGGACAGAGGGACGCTCACGCCGCCTCCCGTCCCCTACGGCCCGGCCCACGTGGCTCGGTCCTGCACTCAGACTCCCCTCCATCTCGGTCCCTCCCTGTCCCCCACGGGCAGCTGGGTGCGGGGCCTTCGGCTGGGTGCCCCATGGACCACCACCTGGAGGACGTGCCACCCAGACCAGAGCTGGGCTTTCAGGACACAGGCCCAGCGTGGCAGCCGCCCACGCGGGTCAGTCGGCGCAAGGCACCCTCGCTGGGCTCAGAGGGCACAGGTCATGACTGCCGAGAACTGCAAGGGCTCCGGACGGGACGGGCTGAAATTGGACGTGAAGGGGAAGGACCCTGATGACTGAAGCAGGAGCCGCGCGAGCCGGTCTTCCTGAGCGCCGCCCCCGCCACGTGTTCACGGTGTTACTCCCTCCGTGTTTGCTGCACTCGGTTCCCTTCCTCCCCTAAAACCCCACCTCCCACCACACCTCAGAGGTCACAGCCTGGTGTCCATCATTTAGCCCCAGCGCCGCTCTGACGACCTGGGCGGGGCCCCCGGGACCCACACACTCCGTCTGTTCAGTCTGTTCATGAGGAGGGAGGGCGCTCTGCCATTGAGGGTTCGTCTCACCACGATCTCTGCAGAGCCCACCAGACGCCCGGGCCTGGGGCAGCAGCTGGCAACCCTGGGCACAGGTGGGCCGACCCTCCTGGTGCAGCTGAGCGCCTGGCTGCCCCCGGGGCCCGAAGCAGGCGGAGCCGGGACTCACCACATGGCGTGCATGTAGGTGGGGGGCAGGCGCGGGCTGCTGACCGGGGTGCAGTTGTAGGAGCGCATGATCCTCTCCGCCAGCAAGAAGTTGCGGAACAGGCTGGCCACCAGCAGGTCCTGCCGGAACAGCTTCTGGAAGAGGTCTGAGGGCGAGACACGCGGCCCTGTCAGGGACGCACGCCCGTGTTCCAGCCAGAGGCCCCTGACGTCCACCCCCGGCCGCGGCGAGGCTCCTGGCAGCTGCGTCAGGCAGCGTGGACATGGCCAGCGGCCGGGAGGACACTGGCGACGGTCAGAGCAGGGGCGCGCGCAGCTCCCCTCACCACGCAGCCCTGACCGGCGCCCCCACAGAACCCCGGGTGCCTGCACCTGCTGCCCCGCCCCCGCCAGCTCTCTGCCTGCGAGAACCCACTTCGCCCCTTGGACCCTCTCGTGCCTCACCCCGAGGGAGCACGTTCCACGCGATGGTGTCCGTGATGGCCGTGAAGATCCAGTTCAGCTCGCCCAGCGGCGTCCTCCTGTCGTTGAGCCGGCCGGGGATCCTAGGAGACACGTGCATTTCCGTTAGCGACGGCGGAACAGCCATGGCTGCAGACACAGCAGGGGCTCCCTGTGAGGGAGGGGAACCTGGGCGGGCACGTGGGCAGAGGCAGCCGGGCCCACCCGCAGCGTGGGTACCCTGCCCGCCGCACAGCAAACTCGTGGCAGCCCTGCAGTCACAGAAAACCCTCCTCCCCCCACAGGGAAGTCCCAGGAAGTGGCCGGAGGCGAGAGTGTAACTGTTGATAAGGTTTCACAGACTAAGATCCTGCCCGCAGATGACCTCCAGGGTCCGTCCTGAACCCGAGGGGAAGCAAGACACGTGCGTAACAGGGACACGTCAGAAGCGGCCCGGCACCCACACGGGAGAGGGGTCACGAGGGCACAGCCACGAGGAAGTAACTGCGGCCCCAAAGCTGCTGTGGGGGATGCTGTGACAGCACGGGGCGCGCTTGCTCTCCGACCAAGGGACACGACACCGTCACAGTCACGCAGCGCGAGCAAGGACGCCATCGACAGAAGGCAAGACCTCGGTGCGACGCTCAGGCGACGCTCGTCCGTCTGCACTGCGAGCCTGGCTCAGCCTCGCCCTCCTGCCGCGGAGCCCGGAGGCTGCAGGGGGTGGGGGTGGGGGGTGGGGGGGTGACAGGACGGCGCTCCTGAGGACAGACACCTGACCAAGGCCCGTCTCCAGACCGGCAGGCGCACAGCCCTGAGCAGCTCCCGTCCAGCCCGGGGCAGGGACACAGCCCCAGCTGCTCCCGGGCCACGTCAGGGTCGCTGTGCATTCAGGTGCGCTGTGAGTTCTGACTGTGACAATCGCCGGGATAAATGCACACCCTCCCCCCTCCCCCCATGAAGGTCCACTGGCCTTCACTGAGCTCCCCGGGAAAGCGTGGGCGGCCCGCCACCGACGCCTCGCAGACCTGGGCCGCTCACACTGCGCCGTCACGGGCACGTTAACTCCCTCAGCAGCGGAGTTTGCTCCCCCGTCTGTACCAGAGCCTGAGGGACGTCCGGCCCCTGGAGCCGCCGCGTCACTGAGGCTGAGGCCGCAGGAACGGGCCGCACGGACTGCCGGGCTCAGGGCACAGGGGGCAGAGACGGAGGCCGGTCGCGTCCCGCTGTGCGGGCCTGGCCGCTCCGGCACCTCTGCCTGCCGCTTCCCAAGCAAACGATACAAACTCCCTAAAGCGACTCCAGTGATAAGAAGGCAAGACAATCGTCCAAGTGCCGTCACCTGAGGGCGACCGGACACACTGGCACCGACCACCCCTCCAGGGGTCCCCGTGTGCACAGCCAGGTCATTGTAGATGAGTCACCGTAACACTGTGCAGGGGGCGCTGCGTCCTTGTTACGTTAAAGCCTCCACAGCCCGGCCGGCTGGCTCAGGGCTGAGCGTCCACCTATGACCCAGGAGGTCACGGTTCGATTCCCGGTCAGGGCCCAGGCCCAGGTTGTGGGCTCCATCCCCACTGTGGGGTGTGCAGGACGCAGCCGATCAACGATTCTCTCATCATTGACGTTTCTATCTCTCCCTCTCACTTCCTCTCTGAAATCAATAAAGATATATATTTTTTAAAAAGCTACAAAAAACCCAAAACACAAACAAAACCTCACAAATACACCGAGAGAAGGGCTGCACCCAGCACTACCCGTGATGCTTGCCTGGCGAGGACACGGTGACCCCGATTCTATGGCCTCTCTGTACTGAGTGACATATCTATGCTGAAAACACGCCCAGCTGGGCAGGGGCTGGGAGGGGAGTGAGCATCTCGAAGGAGCCCTGGGGGGTCTGTGTGCTGGGCCTACGCTCTCTGTCGGGCGCGACGCCGACACCAGCCCTGCACGCGTCCAGCGTGGACACGGCCGCGGTCAGCCCGGAGACAGCCTGGGGGAGGCTGGGACCACCACCGCCAGCACATTTTCTGGAAATGTTTCTTCATTGGTGGACATTCTCCGGAACCAACCCAGCCACACATGTCACTGCTTCTCGGGCCTCCTGCTCAAAGCCGTGCAGAACCGGCTCCGCGTGTTCTCTGAGCCCGTCCCACAGGCCCCGCTGCCCGCCTCGGGCTTCAGGGGAGGACAGTCGGAGCCCATTCAGCGCGCGGACCCGCAACTCCGAGCGTGACTGCGCACAGTGTGGGCGCTGCTGTTAGCAGGAGGGGCCTCTCCTCCCGCTGTCCGGGGCTGCGGGGGGCTGGGGGACAGCGCCTGCAGGTGAAGGCCAGGAGGAGGCAGCGAGGGAGCCTGGTGGGAAGTGCAGCCGCGTCTGCTTGAGCAGGAAGCGCTCCGATTCTCATCACTGACTCAGACGCTCTGCGCAGCGCTGTGCCGCCCGCAGGGCTGCTGCCAGGCCGAGTAAGCTGCGCCCGGCGTGTCCTGGGCTCCCTCCTGGCGGTGGCAGCTGAGGTGACTCACCCTCCTCCCGCGGAGGCAACCAGACAGGCTGGGGAACCTTTTTGATGTCAGGGCAGGGCTGGCCAGGCCCGAGGGAAGCCCAGCCTTGAACCTGTGGTCCTGACGCAGGGCTGAGAGGCGGAGCAGCGGCTGGCAGGCTCCTGGCGGGAGGGCAGGGAGGGGAGGGGCTGCCGAGGAGATGGGCTCTGAGCCAGGACTGGGCATGAGCTGGAAACAACTCAGACCTCACGCCTGCAACCACCCCGAGGCTCGGTACGATGTCCATGTCCAGCTCGCAGCGTTCCCTGCCAGCCCAACGGGCCTTCCCGGCACTGACCCCAGAGACACAGCCGACAGGAGGAGAGAGGACGAGGACGCGGACAGCGCGAGATCAGCTGCGACAGTAATTGCACTGGAGATGTCCACGGAATTAAACGAGAGGCTGGGACGCTGGCAGAGAGCTGGGGACTGTGAAAGTCTGCAAACCAGGATTTCAAGAACCTATGAATGCTGCGTACGAAGAAACCAGCAGGGGGCTGAGCAGCACCCTGAGCCTGGAGAGGCAGGGGAGGGCTCGGGATGCGGAAGGGCCAGCAGGAGGGGAAGACGGGGCGTGGACAGGCAGTGCAGGGCCTCGGGGGACCCGAAGGGGAGGGCGGTGGGGGGGGGGGAGCAGCACTGGTTCCGGGTGCAGTGGCCGATGGAAAACCTCCAGGCACCGTGGCCTGGTCAGCTTGAGCGGCCATGACGCAACGCCCAGACTGGGCGGCTCAACCAACTGGAATCTATTTCTCAGAGTCTGGAGACCAGAGGCCAAGGTCAGGTGCCAGCAAGGTGAGGGGCTGCCGAGGGTGCTCTGCCCAGCGAGCCAACGGCTGCCTTCTTGCCGGTGTCGTTGAGGAATCACGTGTGTAAGGAACATGCAGGGCAGGGATCGGTGTGTCGTGACTTAGAAATGGAGGGAGATGGAGACGCCAGGACAGCGCCCAGCGACGCCTGGGAAACGGGCGGCTTCCCGGACCTTGAAATCTCAAGAAACCAGCCAGCCAGACGCCCGACCAGGCAGACCTGGTGTCGCTCATTTTCTAAAACTCTTCCACGTGACGTTTCCCGAGGACACGCTGTGCTCAGCACCTGTGTGTGTGGCAGCCGCGTAGGCCGTCTGTCACCAGCCCCGCGCCGCTCACGACTCGGAGAGCTGGCACGCGCTGCACTGGAGCCGCACGTCACACAGACACTCCTGAGAAGGAAGCAGGCGACTGGGGCGCGCGGCTCTGCACGCCAGGGGAGCCGCCCGCGACCACTGCCAACGGCCCGCAGGCCCCGCTCCTGTCTCCCGACGGGGTCGCTGCAGGATGGACAGGCTGCCCAGGACGCGGCTTTACGCCGGGTCAGTCACAGCCTGCGGAGCTGCCCCTGCCGGACCCTAACCAGGCGGCCCAGCACCCCGGGGGCCACGGCGCCGTCCCACAGAGCTGGGCGCTGTCAGCTCGCCGGCTCTGCGCCGACCCCGGCAATGCGAGCAGAAGGGTCGCCATCCCCACACTGGCCTCTGCCCCGGCCCAGGGCAGGCTGGTGGTTCCCGTCCCCACGGCCCGTCTGCGTGTGCACGGAGCCCTGACGCACAGACGGGGGGCGAGTCACATGCTGTCACACAGCCTCTGCATGCACTTGAATGTACAGAATTCTACATGCGTGCACTGCTTACAGGTCTCTACTCATATTTTGTTGGTTCTTCCTTTTAAGTTTACTTGCACATGCATTCTACGTGCCCTCATTATTATAAAAATTTTTAAAAGGTGGGAAAATACAGCCACTTAACACGGTTCTTCCCCCTACCGACCAGGAACACAGCCTTCCCTCCTCCCCCCGAGGTCCCGCAGCGCCTGCTCTGAAGGCTGCTCGGCATCCTGCTGCGCGGCTGGTCTCGTTTCCCACTCAGCCGCGTGGCTTCCGGCCCTTCCACGTCACACGTGGGGGCCACACAGCACGCCTCTGCGGGAGGAGTGCGCAGTGACAGAGCACGGGGTCCCTGTGGAGGGCTCAGGCGTGCGTTCTCGTATACGTCCCTGGCTCACGGGCAAGGTGCTGACCAGGGGAGGGACCCAGAGGCCGACTTGCTCATCCACCTCATTCAATAAACTCAGCCTCGGCCCTGGCCGGTGTGGCTCAATGGATTGAGCGTCGGCCTGTGGACGGAAGGGTTCTGGTTCGATTCCGGTCAAGGGCACAGGCCCGGGTTGCAGGCTCGATCCCCAGGAGAGGTCGTGTAGGAGGCAGCCGATCCATGATTCTCTCTCACCATGGATGTTTCTCTCTCTACCTCTTGCTTCCTCTCTGAAATCAATAAAAAATATATTAAAAAAACCAAACAACTCAGCCTTGGCTGTTTCACCACACGATTTTGCATGTAAAGACTTAGAAACGAGCTCTCCGTGCTAATCCTAGAAGCAGTCGGCCAGAGCAGCAGGGCTGAGAGCCACCGCCTGCCCGACTCGGGAGGCCACAGGCGCGGCGAACACACACACAGAAACCAGGTCAAGTGCAGGGTCACGAGATGCGTGTCAGACCCGAACCGGTTCCCAACCAGAAGTGGACGAGCCAGCCCACTGACCAGAGGGATGGGCAGAGGTCACACAACTCAAACGCGCCAGAGTTCACCTCCTGCCCGCACCTGGCGTCTGCCTGAGACAGAACATGGGGCGGGGCACGCGGGGAGTGGGGGGCCGGCCGACCCCGGCTCTGAACTGGTGCCGCAGGGAGCAGACGGGCTGCACGTGTAGTGTACCTCTCTCAGCGTTGGAGGATTTTTAAACGATCAAAAGGAATTGGCTTTTTATTCTCTTTCTTTAAAGTGGCCCCACTGAGCGTGTCCTAGGCTGGCGCTGAGGTGCCATCCACACGCAGCCTCAACCGGAGAGCAGGACGCACGCGCAGGAAGTGCCTGAGAGGGAAGGGAGACCCGACCAGCCCGGCACTGCGGCCTCACTCACTTCTCGATCAGGTCCAGCGTGACTCCGGGCACCAGGCTGACGCACTTCTGCATGCAGAACCTGCGGGAGAGAGCAGGGCATCGGTCACACGCGGCGGACGCTCGACGGGAAGATGCCGCCGCCCCCTGAATGTCCTCACGGGGAGAGCCACAGCCCTGGGCCAAGCCCCGGCATCTCATGTCTTCCAGACAGTCGGTGCCCAAGCTTGCTGCCCTCCCTGCCCCTCTCCCATCGGTTCTCGGCCTGGTGCCCAGAGCAAGCCTTGTTGAGAGGAAGTGCTGGGTAAGTCATCGCACCTGCTGAGAGGGGGTGGCTCCTGGTGTGCAGGGGGGACGCAGGGCCTCCGCAGGCCTCGCAGGGCGGCTCCTGGCCGCCCCCGCCCCGGCTCTCAGGCCCCGTTCCCCCTGGCCCACTCCCTGGGCATTTTCTCATTGGCACCTAAGTCTTTGGTATATTTGGAATTTCCTCATTGAGGTACAAGGTAGGGTTTTAGGTTTCTAATGGTTAGCCATGTGCCCCAAATCCTCAGTGTTGAGTAATGCCTTCCTTAGCTTCTGCACGTCTCTCAGCTCCTCGCCGGGGACACCCCCCCACCCCCCGCCCTCTGGAGGCAGCCCCCTAACTGCCACGTGGGCCTGCACATTCGGTTCACGGCCCAAAGGCCACTGTGCTGAACACTCATGTTTCTGCTAACAGTTTTCCAACGCATTTTATTGGCGTTTTTGCGAGGCTGAAATCCAGATCATGCATAAACACTGCACATCTGCCTTCTCCTAGAACATGTGCACCTTTCATCCCGCTGCTCATCCAGCTGCTGGACTGACTACGCTTCCCAGGAGCCGGTGACTGATCCAAGTTGGCCAACACCCTGGTGCAGCTCCCACTGCATTCAGGGCGCAGGGGAGGCTTGGCCGGGGGGGAGGGGGAGGCGGGCTGCGGCCTAGAGAAAACCTCCCTCTTGCAAAGGGAGTTTGCTTCTATTCTTGTAGGTTTTTATTAAAATTCATTTTCAATTTTATCAAATAACTGTCCTCTGTCCTCCTATTACGATGATGAATTACATTAATAGGCAGCCTAATAGGACGTCGTCGCGCCTCTGGAACGACTCCGGCGTGGAGCTAATTGTTCTCGCTGTGCTGCAGGCTCCCTGCCGATGCTCCGTTCTGAACCCATCTGCAGTGTGTGTGTGTGTGTGTGTGTGTGAGAGAGCCGCTGTGTGTGTCTCCCTCTATTTGTGTGTCCGTGGATTTGTCCACTTGTGTGCCTCTGTATGTGTTTGTGTGTATTTGCACACGTGTGTGCCTGTGGGTGGTGCTTCTGCTGTCCCATAAAGGACCCTCTTTCTCTCCTTCCCTCTGCCCTTCCTCCTGCGCTGTGCCCTAGGCCTGCCCTCCCCCTCGGGCCCTCCCCCTCCCCCGTCTCCCTTGCTACCCCCTCCGCAGTGGCCACAGCCCCCCCCAAGGTTCCCTGGGTTTCTGACGTTGCTGTTGGGGGATTCCCCGCAGGAACATCAACCCTGCGCTCCCTGAGGCGCCCGGGCCGCCTGCTGCCATCCTATTCAGCGCCATGAGTCAGGTCTGCACGCCCACTTTCCGAAGGAGCTCTGCGACACGACACGCCATTCATCTTAACTGTGCGTGTCGGGAGACGGGACACCGTCTGGTTCGGGAGAGAAACGACTTTCCTCAAGGCGGGCGTGGGCAGGGTACAGAACCCGACAGACTGAAGTCTCCGGAAGCCATCTTGGGGCTCAGCAGAAGGGCCAGGCCACGCGGGCCACCCTGTGGAGACCTCCAGAGAGAACCATTTCCCTGTTAGCCCCATCGCTCCTGCGGCCGGAGCTCAAGCTATGACGTCACCACAGGGAAAACCTAGGACAACTTTGTCCTCTGTCTGCACCGCTCCCGGCCGAGGCCCAGACCTCTCTGTCCTCAGACACGGCAGGGCCGAGGCAGGAGGGTTCACAGCGCAGAGTGGGGGTGGAGGAGGGGGTGCCCAGAGCGTGTCCTCCCACAGAGACACTGCCTTTTAGGAAACGCTGGAGTACAAACCATTAGCCCCACACCGAGGGGCCGTGGGGATTCATGTCCCAAGGTCATTCTGATCTCGGTGAGTCACCAAGAAAACCCACAAGGCAAACGTCGGGGCGAGGGTTTGAGATGAGACACACGACACCACGCTGGCAGGGCCCGCACCCCTGCCCTGCGGGGTCTGCACGCTGCCACCTCTCGCTGGGTGAACCCAGGAGCAATTTTCTGTGCTGATAGGATACGGCAACATGGGCCATGAATATTTAAACTCTTTCAAATTCCTCAGGGTAATGGGAAGTTTCCCACCGCGGTCCATCCATCATCCATCGTGTGCCTGGCAGACAGCGCGATTGTGTGCTGCGGGCCGAGAGGCGTCACCCGGCCACGGCGCCCCTCATGCTGGGGGCCAGGTTACCTTCGGAAGTACAAGTGCTCCATGTGCATTTAAAATGGAATTCTGCCACTCAACCGAAGACCAAGAAAAAAACAAAGGGAAGATGTACTGTGGGTTCTCACACTACATTGACATTCGTGGGGGGTGAGGGCACCAGTTATGGGAAGAGCAAGGCATTTGCTCGTTTCAGAATTACTCAAGGTTTCACTTTCTGGTCATTAGAAAGGTGGAGGCAAAAATGAAAAAATCAGAAAACATTGGCCCTCCTGAGCCTCGGTTGGCGGGGGAGGGGCAGAGGCGAGCGGAGCCCACTTACCAGCGCAGCGCGATTTTGATGGGGGTGGTGAGGCAGGAGGTGAACAGGTCGGCCGGGAGGTCAGGGATCATGGGCAGGAGCTCGCTGGCCTCGCAGGCGGCCAGCTGGATGCAGTTCTTCATGGACGGGGGCAGGGGCATCTGAGCCAGAGGGTGGTTGGGGTTGATGGCCGCGACCTGCGGAGAACACGAAGGAAGACTGTGACGTGATGTTGTGTCTGACCCGGGAGTCTCTTAACATAGTTCCCTGTTGAAGAAGGTCCCCCCCCACCTGCCAACCGCCCTCTTACCTTGCCTCCCGCATGCAGCCCATCGTCCCGCCCCCAGCGTGCAGTCCGCCACCGTTCTCAGTCCCACCTCCATTGCGGAGCCCCACCT